CATCAGTGGACTGTGGTCTAGCAGAGCCTTCACCACGCTTAAGACCATCCAGACTGTTTGCATGTGTTGTTCCAAGATGGTGGAACCACCTACCAAGCTACCAGACAGGTCCCTGTCTGTCTTCAAGAAACTCTTGAAGACCCACCTCTTCAAAGAGAATCTCCTATCCTAACCCTAACCCGTACCTCTATCCTCCCACAGCTCCTATCCTAACCCTAACCCGTACCTCTACCCCCCACAGCTCCTTCTGTGGTCCTACTAACTGACTTCTGTACTGAGTTTAGATTGTCCTGGGAGCTCAAGTCAAATAAAAACATTATTATTGAGACAGACTTTCAAGTGGTACCTGAGTTTCCTGTCTTTAGGTCTTCCAGTAGTTTCTCCTTCTCTCCCAGTCTGAGCTCCATGGCTGAAATGGAGATCATTCATGTTTATTCATCAGTTGGCCATTAAAAGGAACCTGAAGTGTTTGTGATGGTACCTGCAGTGTCAGTCCCCAGCTGTTCCAGATGTGTTTCAGTGGATCTCAATCTGACCTCCATATCTGCTGAACAAACTTCATTTAATGAATTATCCTTTACTGAGCTGGATTAAGTTCGTCCCCTAGAAATCTATCTTAACCTGCACAATACCACTTTCCTGATATAACAGTTTGTGCATTTTCAGATAAAGACACTGAAATATTTCACATGATGCTTAAAAGTTTGACATGAGGCTGTGGGAAAAAAGTTCAGGAAAGGGTTCCTATGAAAAACAAACTGAATCCTGATTAGTTTCAAGAGGTTTTAAACCCCCTTTATGATACATAAGGCACTTAGAACCATGTGTTCTGAGTTTGTTTCCATTTTGGTATCACCAGTTTCCCAGTGCACATGTTGCTGATCTCATATCCATATGTTTGACCTGCAGTGAGCCTGGGAGCTTCACGTAGTACCTGAGTTTTCAGACTTCAAGTCTCCCAGCAGTTTCTCACTGACCACGAGCCTGCTCTCCAACTCTGAAGAAGAAAAAACTAAAATTAGAAAGGAGCTCTCTGGGAATGCTGCTGGATCCTGCAGTTTCAGACTGAAATCTTCCGAGTGAGTTTGAGACCTTCACTGTGTTACCAGGGTTTAATCTTGGTATCATAGGGAAATGTTCATGTTTGACATCGCTGATGCTAGCCTACAAAGTGCTTAAGGGTCCGGCTCCCATCTACTTGAATCCTCTTGCAAAGGCTTATGTCACAACTGGATCCCTCCGGTCATCAATGGACTGTGGTCTAGCAGAGCCTTCACCACGCTTAAGACCATCCAGACTGTTTAATGTGTCGTTCCAAGATGGTGGAACGACCTACCAAGCTACAAGAACAGCAGGTCCCTGTCTGTCTTCAGAAACTCTTGAAGACCCCCCTCTTCAAAGAGCATCTCCTATCCTAACCCTAACCCGTACCTCTACCCCCCCACAGCTCCTTCTGTAGCCCCTCTACCTCTATCTCTATCTCACCACTGACTCTGATCAGTGTTTCTCCTCTGTATAGCTTATTGTCATAGTGATGATAAATGTAATATTGTGTCTACTCTGTCAGTCACTTTGGATAAAAGCATCTGCCAAATGCATAAACATAAACATTGTGCTATCTTTCCACCATTTACATTCACTGATGAACAGGGAGATATAAGCTTTAACTTGCTGTTGTGACGTTCTGGCACTGGAGCTGGCTCCACCTACCGTCTGTCTCTTGCTCAGCCTCCACACTCCGCAATTAACCTCATTGGAATCACCTGTCACTACCCATACTTAAGCTCCGATCCAGCCAGACTTCAGTGCCAGAACGTCTCAAGCCTATCGGTAAGAACTTCCAGCGATTATAGTATTCTGCCTGCCTGATCCCGACCTGTTTGCCTTCGACTCCTGAGTTTTTGCCTGATCCTTGTCTGACCTGTCTGCCGCCTGAGTTCTGCTTCGCCAGTCTCTGGATCCTGTCTGTCTGCCCGTGTATCGACCCTACCTGCCTGACTCAGAGTTCCCGTCTGCCCCTTTGGACTGATTCCCTGGCTCTCACCCTCGTTCTGACCTGGACCACGGTTTGGATTTCCCATTTGTACTGTCGCTGGATTCTGATCGCCTGTTGCAGGACCTGGACTTCCCTGACCACGCCCCCCGGATTATCCCTCGTTCACGCAATAAACTTTGTTAACTGACCGTGCCGTCTCTGGGTGTTTTTGGGTCCAAGAACAGTTCGTTACACTTTCTGATACATAAGGCAATGAGGACCATGTGTGCTGAGCTCATTTCCATGTTGGTATCACCAGTTGCCCAGTGCACATGTTGCTGATCTCATATCCATATGTTTGACCTGCAGTAAGCCTGGACGCTTCACTTAGTACCTGAGTTTTCAGACTTCAGGTCTCCCAACTGTTTCTCACTGACCACGAGCCTGCTCTCCAACTCTAAAGAAAAGAAACAAAAATTAGAAAGGAGCTCCTCTGGGAATGGTGCTGGATCCGGC